GGGACTGTGGAAGACAACACTGCAAGTCAACTCTAGACAGCTTGCACAAGTGGCCCTCGAGTGTGGCATATACCAAGGTGATGCACTGTCCCCACTGCTTCTCTGCATAGGCTTGAGCCCCCTCAGCCAGATAATCACAAGGACTGGATACAGATACAAGTTCAAGAGTGGAACTACCATCAGTTACCCCCTCTACATGGATGACATCAAGCTGTATGGTAAGAGTGAACGAGACATCGACTCGCTGATCCACCTGCCACAGATCTACACTGGGATATACATTTGGACTGGAGAAGTGTGGCCAGATGGTAGTAAAGAGAGGGAAGGTAGTTAAGACTGATGGGGTGGAACCTGGTAAGTGGGCCACATTTCAGACATACAGACCAGCTACAAGTACCCTGGTATCCCACATGGGAACCACAATGAGGAGCCAAGGAAGACAGTAACATCCAAGTATCACCAAAGGATAAGACAGGTCCTGAAGAGCCAACTCAATGGGAAGAACAAGATCTATGCCATCAACACTTACACCCTGCCAGTCATCAGATACCCTACCGGTATAGTGAGCTAGCCAAAGGAGGACATGGAGGCTGCCAATGTGAAGACCTGGAAGCTCTTCATAATGTACCAAGGTTTCACCCCCAAGTCCAACATCCAGAGAATGTACATCAGCCAGAAAGAGGGTGGGCAGAGTCTGGTGAGCGTCAAAGCCACTGTCCTGGATGAAACCCAGAGCATCCAGGAGTACATCAGTAAGATAGCACCCAAAGATGAGCTGCTGAGAGAAAGCCTGAGACAGCAGCAGACATGGGAGTAAGTTCAAGCAGAGGAAGCGCCATGGCAAGACAAGATCGTGCATGGATGTACCATCAACAGATAGCTAAGGTGGCTAACACTGGGAAATCCTACCAGTGGCTATAAAGGCCTGGACTAAAAGACAGAACTGAGACACTGATCATAGCAGCATAGGAACAGGTGCTAAGCACCAGATCCATAGAGGCAGAAGCACACTAGATAGGACCCAAGGTGCAGACTGTGCAGAGAGGCCTCAGAGACACTCCAGCACATAGTGGCAGGGTGTAAGATGCAGGCAGAAACAGCATACACTGAATGGCACAACCTAGTAGCTGGCACTGTATACAGGAACATCTGCACAGTGTATGGGAAGACCCTCCCAATTCCAGATAGGCAATTCCATAGAAGACCGTGGAGAATAATAGGGCTAAGATCCTGTGGGACTTCCAGATCCAGACAGACAAGCAGGTACTGGCCAATCAACCAGACATTGTGGTAGTAG